CTACCCTCCCTCCATGTAACCAGGGTTCTTGCAAGAGGGCCAGGTCGAGACCCTCTTTGTCAAATCTCCTACATACCATAGCGCTGGACGCCTTGGCATGATGGAGATTCAACTGCAGAACCCTGATCCTACGGTTCAGTTCTGTGAACTGAACCCTTCTTCCGCCTTCTTCGAGGCATCTCCCTCCTCCATGGGTGTTGCGCTCTCATGTGCTATTTGCCTCTTGAGAGGGCTACTCCCACTTTGGGAGGACTCTGTCTCGTCCTCTTCTTGTGCCTCTTGGGCCTCCGGAATCGGCTCGACGTGTTCTTCTTGTTCCTTGACATGTTTCCCCTTCTGTCTGAACTTAATTCTCCCTAGATTGAAGTAGGGAGACATGTCAAGTTTCACTAGTTCTTCCAGTGACTGTTTGTCGATGGAGAAGACCCAAGTTTGACCTCTGGCCGCAGGAGTTTTGCCCCAAACCGTCCAAAGGTGCGTGTTTAGCCCATGATTTGCGACTTTGAGCCGGTGCAGAATTTTTTCCGCCTCCGGCTTTTGCCCTCTTTCATCAGGGATGAAGGTAGTGCAGGCGTAGGTTCCAGGTAAGTCATCCCCCTCCAACACTGTTAGGGTAGCTCCCTCCCAGGGTTTTATGGTTGGGATGACCTCCTTCAACCAGTCTGCACTAGTGCGATCCACGCACATCATAACCAAGTATCCCGGTTTCTGAGTGCATTTTGCAAATCGCACTTGGGGTCCCTCTATGTATGGGGATTTGATCTAGAGCCTCGGAGATTGAGTCCTGGACTTCTGTGAGCCTTTCAGTACTCATTTTCACCTCCGGGAAGCCCGTGTGTACCACAGCAACCTTTACTGAGGTAAGGGCATCTTTGAAGGATACTCCTTCGTGCCTTGGTTTCTTCCTCAGCTGGCTGGTCTGTGGCGGTGTCGCACTGGTTGACCGTGGTCGTTTCGTCGCTTTCGTGCCTTCACCGGCCTCCCTCGACGTTGTTGCTACAGGTCCCAACCTCGAGGGCTTTGCGGGTTCCTTGCTTTTTAAAAAGTTCTCCTTTATTACCAGCCTCTTGGCTGAAATGTAATCAAGGCCCTTTTCTAGGTGGGCTTTGAGCCTCAACCTCGAAGCTCCTCCGAGGTGTGCTATTTCCACCTCATCGTCTGATAGTAGCTCTAGTTCCTCTAGGGAAGATACTACTACCTTGTTTTTGGCTTTTGGTGCTTGCCCTTTTGTGGCCTTAGCACCAGGCGTGCCCGCCTTCTGTCTTGGGTTGGGTGTGGTCACCTCCGCCCTTTTGACAGGTTTTTTGTTTTTATTTTTTGAATCCATTCAGATCCCACGAGTAGCTAGGGAAGTTTTGGTCCGCTACGACAGAGCCCCGCATGCCGTAGTAAGGTCTTTGTACTCTGGGATTCGACCCTGTGTCCCAGAGGCTCCGTTCTTGATAGCACTCCCTGCTACCATCCAGTCCTCGGCACGGAAATCTCACACCTTGACTTGGGGGAATTTTTCGACCTACCTCGTCTAGATCCGCTGTGTTTAGTTTATGCAGGGTCACCTCGGGCAGGATGCGATTCTACATCGCGCACAGACGGTCTTGGTCATAGCTTCCTCGAGAGGTTTGCCCGACCTCCTCTGCTATTCCCCTGGGGTCGGTGGCCATGTAGCCGACCCCTTGACCCCTCCGACTCACTTAAAATGCTGCGAAGTTGTAGGAGTGCAAAGAAAGCTCTCTTCATTTCATCACAGATATGGTCAATGTGAATATTTCAAGATAGAGATCTGTCTATGAATGTTCCTTAACATTTTGTATAATCACACGGAACAATATCTTCCAAAATCACATTTCTTTTCAGACTGAAGATTATGAATTCTGTCTTACTTTTATTCAGGATGAGTTTATTTCTATCACACCAGGATGATACTTCATCTAATACTAATTTGATACTCTCTTGAAGTTCTTCAATATTCGGAGCCGTGATAGTGATAGTTGTGTCATCAGCAAATATGATAGCATGTCCTTTGCTTACATAACGAGGAAGATCATTTATAAATATTGTGAACAATAGTGGTCCAAGTACTGACCCTTGCGGTACCCCAATTATGTCATATTGTTCTGAAGAGTACTGATTATACTTTACAGATGATTTTCTATTTTCCATGTAGGATTTTAAGCAACCTAGTATGAACCCTCTTATGCCCATATGTTCCAGCTTAAGTAAGAGAATATTTTTGTATACACTATCAAAGGCTTTGGTTGAAACAAGCATTATGGACATTACATACTTACCTTTATCAACCTCAGAGTATATATTATTGAATAGCATAACCGATGCACTTTCAACTGATCGGCTACTTCTGAAGCCATGCTGTTGTTTAGTTAGCAAATCATATTTCTCTATATAGAACATGATCCTTGTGGCAAGACATTTTTCAAATAGTTTGAAAATTACACTCAGTAATGATATCTTCCAATATCGTTCTTAGATCCTTTTTTGTAAACTGGTATTACAGTTGCAATTTTCAATTCATCAGGAAAAAATCCATTGGAAATTGACGGATTTATCAAATAAAGTAATAGTTGGATTATATTAGGAATGATACTCTTCACAATACTCACAGTAAGTCCATCTGCCCCAGCTGATTTTTTATTTACTAGACTATGTAAGGCGTCTAATAATTCGTCTCCAGTTATTTTAGGAAAAAATTTTGAGACCTGACTAAGCATAAGTTCTGGCCAAAATGGTTTGATATATTTCCAGGTATCACTTTGGAGAAATGAGAGGCAAAATGATTTGCCACCTCAGTTTCACTAATGACTTTTTTGCCTGCAGCTTCGAGAACAATAATTGATTCATTTAGCTCAGAGTTCACTATTTTCCACGTCTCCCTAGAACGATTTTCATACCTGTTAATTTTATTATTAAAGTTTTTTCGTCCTGTTATCCGAATGTTTATTTCATGTTCCTTGAGCCTATTCTCATGAATATCAAAATCCACATTTACTCCACTCTTTCATTGCCAAAACATATGCCTTATTGATTTTCCCTCATGAATTATTTCACTAGTTATCCAAAGATTATTTCTTTTACTAGGTGCATTTTTATTGCCATTGGGACATATTACTGGACAAGCAGTATCGTAGTACCATTGCAAGTCTTCAAAAAAACACTAAATGCATTTTGTACAGACAGTTCAGAAATGAAATTCCAATCTGCTTTGATCAACAGCCTGTTCATGTCATTTACGTTTTCAGCTTTTTTTATTCGTTTAAATAGTAAATTTACGTTCTCGCAATCCTCAAGTACCTGCAGACTGTGTGAGTGATAGGTAAAAATATAAGCAAGATGATCAGCTAATAATGGATGAAATGAGTCAACTGTATAAGCATCAGGGCAGATGTCAGTGACAACATAATCAATTGCACTAGAAGTTGTCAGGCCATCATTATTTTTCACAATACTTGTTGGTTCATTAGTGGTCGTATGTAAACCATAAGAGTAAAATAAATCAAGTAAAGATCTAGTTTTCAATGAGTCATCCTTCAAATTGATGTTTAGGTCCCCACAGATAACAATGTTCTCGTACTGACTGAATAAGCTATACAGGGCCGAATTCAGATTTTCGAAGAATATACTGACATCTCCATCTGGGGGTCTATAAATGCATATTAGTAATATTCGAATTTTTTCATCAACAATTAATGACATGCCACACAGTTCACAATGCAATTCCATCGATAGTTCAAAAAACAATTCAATAGCTTTAAATTTCAGATAATCTTCAACATAAATACAGCTGCCACCATGAATGTGGTTTTTGCGTGCGAAATAATTTGCTAGGTTATAACCCTCTAGTGTGAAACATTTGATATTAGAATTTGAGAGCCAATGCTCAGTTGAACATAAGACAGCAATATCATGTACCTTGCTTATCAACTCTATCTCATCTATTTAATTACATATACTACGTATATTCACGTGAAGGATGTTTATCTGCTTACTAGTGACTATTGCCTTCCTCTCCTCAGTGGTATTTGTTACATTTCTGGAGCAACTTGGGAGAGTCCCGGGTATAAGGAATTAGATTCCGAAAGTTCATTCCTATTGTCAATGTTAATCATCTCCTGAAGTAGCGATATATCTTGAGACGGTTGATGATATCGTCAGTGTCTTCTTCACTAGGTAGATCTTTTGTATTGAAGAAATCCACTACCGTGTTCTCATCTTTTGCATCGTAGGGGGTGCATTGTCTACGTTTCTTGTGTTCGGTCCCCCTTCACTTGGAAAAGCATTGGCTAGATTTCTTAGGTAGTCAATAAGTTTTTTACATAAGAACCATTTCCTACGTTTGTAATGCTGAAACCATCTCTCATATAATTATTTCTTCTCAATATATTGTTGCATTCAAATATCATGTTATATTTGTTTAGAGAATTATTTTCTCTTATCATTTCACAATTGTTGGTGTATATAAAGTCATCAATATTTTTTATATCATAGCGATATGGTTCAGTTAGCACAATTAGGTTTGTATGTTCCACTTGTTTTATGCATTATCTTATGACATCTGAATTAGCATGATTGGGCCATAATATGAGATAATTATCACTGCACATATTTCTAGATAGTTTAATGAAATTTTTGACAAATTCATAATCATCTGCATATGGTTTCAGGATAGTCTGGATGGTAAACTCATCACCTGCTCGTTTGATCAGGTACTGTGTTAAGTTCCTTCCGCTAAGGCCAGAAACAAAAACAATATTCTTCTTTTTCCGTATAGAATTACTGTGACTGCTATCAATATATGGAGATGAGTTCTTTATAATCTGTTGTCCTGATTTGGTTACTTGATGAGACGCAACATTCGTGACATCCTGGGTTTGCACACTTCTGTGAGATTTATGGTAGCTGTAATTATCAATAGTTTGAGTGGAGGCCGATAATCCACGATTAACAGTTTGCGTTCCTCTTGATTTCATATCTTCAGGACTGATTACCATCTCTTTGAGTTTACATAATTCCTTTCTAAATTCTATAATGATCTTCTCTTGCAGTTTGATTATTCTTTCAAGTTCTTCCTCAGCCCTGGTAGCTTCCATAATGAGTTTCTGAGACTCATTCTTCATTTTCGCAATATGTACTTTTTTTATTTCTGAGTCGTCCATCAGTTCAGATATGGTTTTTTCGAGCGCTGATTCCTCATCTTGTATGCTGGAGTTGCAATCTTCCTTATTTCTGCAGCATATTATTTTGTGGTTCTCAACCAGCTTGTATATCTTTTTATCTCCCATTAGGCAGCTTCCATGAAAAATCGAGTGGCATATGATGCACACATAGATGCTTGTAGTTTTTGTTCTGCAACATTTCTAATTCATATTCATGTTATACTGTAATCTTGATTTATTGGATAAACTTGAGTGCGGTCCTGTCTCTCTCAGTTTGCAAGTGGATATAGGATAGTATTCCTTATTGTATTTTAATAAAAATAAAGTTTTTTGTTGTTGACGTGTTCTTTTGATTTCACTGATAGCAAAATAGATTGTCAAAATTATTTGCTATAATTGATTTACTGCAATCTAATTCAATGATTATGCTTCTATTGCAAGTCTTCACTATCATTTTTTGCTACAGATACATCAGCCATCTATGAAAAATTCGAATTTGACACTGAGAGATTCCTCGATCAAAACTGTGTTTTCCTGAGGAGCACATCAGAACGCCGATCTATTTCTGTAATGTGATGAAGATATATAGGCATTTCAGATGCTAGAATCAGAGTTACAGTGTGAACATAGTCGAAGATACTAGTTCTGCCTGTTGTGTGCGTCATACCAACTTTGATGTCTTATATGATCGTTGCGAACTCAAATGCTCCAAAGGTATTCATGTGAGATGAAAGAATACAGAGATACGGTGTGCAGAGTGATGCTGTCGAACAATCTTCACTTGTCTATTGTTCTCATTATATGTTCTGCGAAGTCGTTTTATATATTCAGTGCTATCGTATCTGCTTCAACTGTAGGCATGTCAAATGCCTGAATTCAGAGCCACAGTGTAAACATAGTCGAAGTCGAAATTGCTTGTTCTTCCTGTTATGTGAGTTATGCCCTCTTTTATTATGATCGTTGCGAACATATTTGCTTCAAAGGCACACATGTGAGATGATAGAATACAGAAATACAGTGTGAAGACTGATGTTGTCAAAGTATCTTCATTTGCCTAATGTTCTCGTTATATGTCCTTCTAAATCGTCTTATATGGTCAGTTCGAATCGTGTCTGCTATAACTGTAGGCTTGTCAGATGCTATAATGCTAAAATACAGTGTACACATAGTTGATCTCGAAGTTTCTTGTTGTGCCTATTGTGTGCGTTATACCCGCTTCGGTGTCATCTTATATACTCGTTGCGAGCTAATATGCTCCAGATGTATCCATGTGAGATGTCAGAATACAGAGATACGGTGTGCAGACTGATATTGTCGAAGTATCTTCACTTACCTATTGTTCTTGTTATATGCCCCTTGAAGTCGTCTTATATGGTCGGTGCGAATGTATCTGCTATAGCTATAGGCATGTCAGATGCTGGAATGCGAAGGTACATTGTAAACATAGTCGAAGTCAAAGTTTCTTCTTCTGCCTGTTGTGTGCGTTATATCCGTTTCGATGTCGTCTAATATGATCGTTGCAAACTGATATGCTCCATAGGTTTCCATGTGAGATGATAGAATACAGAGATACAGTGTGCAGACTGATGTTGTCGAGGTATCCCCACTTGCCTATTGTTCTCGTTATATGTTCTTCGAAGTCGTCCTATATGGTCAGTGCGATCGTATCTGCTATAACTGTAGGCATGTCAGATGCAAGAATGCGAAGTTACAGTGTGAACATAGTCGAAGTCGGAGTTTCTTGTTCTGCCTGTTGTGTGCGTTATACCCGTTTTGATGTCGTCTCATATGATCGTTGCGCACTGATATTCTCCAAAGGTATCCATGTGGGATGATAGAATACAGAGATACAGTGTGCAGACTGATGTTGTCGAAGTAATTTCACTTACCTATTGTTCTCTTTATAGGTCCTTCGGATTCGTCTTATATGGTCAGTGCGATCGAATCTGCCATAACTGTAGGCATGTCAGATGCTTGAATGCAAAGTTACAGTGTAAACATAGTCGAAGTCGAAGTTTTTTGTTCTGCTTGTTGTGTGCGTTATACCAGTTTTGATGTCGTCTTATATGATTGTTGCGAACTGATATGCTCCAGAGGTATTCATGTGAGATGATAGAATACAGGAATACAGTGTGCAGACTGATGTTGTCGAAGTTTCTTCATTTGCCTATTGTTCTCATTATATGTCCTTCAAAGTCGTCTCATATGGTCGATGCGATCGTATCTGCTATAGCTGTGGGCATGTCAGATGCTAGAATGCGAAGTTACAGTATAAACATAGTCACAGTCGAAGTTTCTTGTTCTGCCTGTAGTGTGCGTTATACCCGCTTCGATGTCGTCTTATATGATCGTTGCGAACTAATATGCTCCAGAGGTATCCATGTGAGATGGTAGAATACAGAGATTTAGTGTGCAGACTGATGTTGTCGAAGTATCTTCACTTGTCTATTGTTCTCGTTATATGTCCTTCGACTATATGATCAGTGCGATCGTATCTGCTATAACTGTAGGCATGTCAGAAGCTAGAATGCAAAGTTACAGTGTTGACATAGTCAGAGTCTGAGTTTTTTGTTCTGCCTGTTGTGTGCGTTATACTCGTTTTGATGTCGTCTAGTAAGAGAGCTATGCCAAAACGGCTGCATTTCGACCACTTTTCCCATGTTAATCGCCATAAGAAAAGTAAAGATTCATTCTGGTGATTTTTGTCCACATCAAGGTCATCCGGCTCCGACGCTATCAGCAGGCTGCTGATAAGAATTGCGATAACACAACTACAATAACAAGATGGGATATACAGGGCGGATCGCTAAATAAGAATATACAGGGTTTCTCATGAATAATATATCACATTCATAGTAGATGACAGCCAACGTATGACAGATAGCATATGATTGTTAAACCTTCCAGTGCTCATTGAAACTCAACGCTCAACTCACGTTTGACGGATACCACGTGACGCGCTCGTCTAGAGCAGAGGCCGTCAAAATGGTTACCAGTTCAAAATGGCGCTGGAATGATAATACATTTATGATATTCGACAGATAACATACCACGTGACGCACTCGTCAAAAGCAGACACTCAGGATCGACCTTACCTACGAATATTAACGATACGTATGATGTTTGAGAGATGACGTATATCATGTGACCGTCCAGTGCTTGTTTGCAGAAACACTCACAGTCGAGACAACCTTCGAATTTTAATCAAAATGGTTATTGAAACAAGATGGCGATCGATTCAAAATAGCACAGATATCACGCGAAACTTTTGGCCTATGATTCATTGCTCCACCGAAAGCGAACGCTCATATTCAGAACAAACGATGTATACTACATATACTCATTTCAGTAAACTCATAAAAAACGATACTCATCATTCAAACATATTATAAGACAGACAATGTATATGACAGACGACGCGCTGACAGCTGAGTTCGTTCAATATACAGGGTGTTTGAGTATTAGATATAGGGCGACTCGCGGGTAGACCACCCCACTTCTTTTCATACTCAGAGACTGCTATAACACCTAAAGTACGACAGCAGATGACGACTAACATAATACATTCGATATATGATATACGAGGTATACCACGTGACCTTCTGGTGCTCGCTGAACAATCGACCGCCTATCAAATGTCATAAGCCATCTGTCGGCTGTCGCTACGTATATCGTATACCCGCTGCTTGCCGAAAGCGAAACAAATCAGGCACCTGGCGGGTAGACTACCCCGCGAATAGGTTAAGGGTGCTAGGAGGTTATGAGGGCTAGAGGTTAGCCATGTTTAGGTGTGATATTTTGTTGAATAACCTGATTTTTATAGCCCATTACTGAATACAGTTATTTCAATTAGACAGCTAACGCAAGCTCATGATTTCATTCAATATAAAAGACGGTTGAGCTGAATAGCAATAAAAAATATACAAGGTTAGACCACCACACTTCAGGTGGGCTCGGCAAAGGGATAGCTTACGTATGACAGATGTTTTTTGACAGGGGACGTATGGAGTGGAAGTATTTAGAAACCAGGAAATATGTCGAACTACTCTCTACCCAAAATTCATGATGCGAGTGATCATCTCGAAGTCTACACACTTTCGCTTGAATCTTCTAGTAACGTAGATAATGTTTGCTGCAGGTTATCTTGTCACAGAAACGCTGCGGCAATGTAACGGGAACGTCAGGAAAATGTTATGTAATCGTTACAGAAACGCTGCAAAAATGTCTTGGAAATATTACAGGAACGTCACGGAAGTATCATTGAAGTGTCATGGAAGTGTCACGGAAGTGTCAAGGAAGTGTCAAGGAAGTGTCACGGAAGTGTCACGGAAATGTCACGAAACTGTCACGGAAGTGTCACGCAAGTGTCACGGAACACTAAAATGTCACGAAAGTGTCACGGAACTGTCACGGAAGTTCGACGCAAGTGTCACGGAACATGAAAGTGTCACGGAAGTGTCAAAGAAGTGTCAAGGAAGTGTCAAGGAAGTGTCATCGGAGTGTCACGGAAATGTAACGGAAACGTCGCGAAACACCAGAACGTTACAGAAACATCGCGGAATGTTTTCTAAAACGCCACTGAAATGTCAGACATATTTCATTATACCTATCACTTTTGATTCTTTCAAGATAACAACAATCACGTTATCGTTCGAGGTGTTTCCGCGACAAATACCGAACAACTCTCAACTAAAAACATGTAAAACAGCTCTGGGTTACACCAAAGGATTGAAATCAAACACAGTGTAAAAAATATTTATAATATATTCAATAATCTATACAAATAGCAGCACATTTTCCCACCACCCTCGACGTAGTGCCTTGTGGCGCGTTGCTTCTTTTTTTGAAAGTGGGAAGCTCCCCGGTAGGCATACTTTGACCACTTGCGGTGATAAATAATTAGGTTAACAAATATAGCATTTTTTCAATGTTTTTTTCAGACTGCACGAAGATTCATCCCTAAATCAATAGAAACACTTCATTAATTCATCTGAGGACCACTTTTTCCAGACAGCACGAAGATTCATGCCTTAATTAATAGAAACACTTCTGTAATTCGGCTGATGGCTCTCTTTCCAGACATCACGAAGATTTATCTCTAAATTAATATAAACACTCCATTGATT